AAGTATAATAAAAAAAACAAGCATATAAATCCTATTAGAACAAGATATAGCCAGCACTGGGAACATTAATTGAAGAAATCCATCCGTCCAACACTAGGAAAGAAAACAACCACTGCTAGAAGTCTGTAGGGATTCTTGGTCATCCAGGTCATGGTTGGGATGAACACCCTGTGAATGGTGTGGGAGTAGGAATGGATTTCCAGAGTAAAAATTGCAGACTATAGGAATGAGGAACACCACTCAGTTGATCCTGAGGACACAGGTAAATCTCCAAGTGGCCTCAATGACTCTTTAAAAGGATGCAAATGACCAGCAAGGAAAATAAATTCTTCTATTCCCCACTATAGTCAGAGCTGAAGAAGCTTCTTGGATGAGAAATGAAACGTCTTCAAAGAAGCTGCCTCCTGAAAAAGCTAGAAGGGACAACCACAGCTAGAAGGAATGAGTTCACAATGTTCTAACCTCCCAAAGCTGGATGGAAAGACCACGTTTTAAAAAGATTAAACATGGTTAAATCCAAAAGAAAAAGTCAAAAAGGAGAGAAGGGAAAAAAGAAAAAAGGCTTGAAAGGTGACAGCCAACAAAGTGGATTGTCCTCAAAACCAACTGGCAACCAGTGCAACAGACCACTGGTGTTATATGAGAAGTCCCATCCACCTATTTAACTACTTGAAGGGTGCAATGGCTCAGTGGTTAAAGATGACGGGTGAATTCCTGTTTCTCCTACCAGCTCCTGCCCTGCCTAGCAGTTTGAAAAAAGACAAATGCAAGCAGATACATAGGTATAGAGTAGATAAATATGAAGAATGGTTGCAGGAATTGGATATGGCTAGTCTAGAGGGAAAAAAAGAGGGACGCAGTGGCTCAGTGGCTAAGACGCTGAGCTTGTACATCAGAAAGGCTGGCAGTTCAGTGGTTCGAATCCCTAGTGCCGCATAAAAGAGTGAGCTCCCGTTACTGGTCCCAGCTTCTGCCAAACTAGCAGTTCAAAAGCATGTACAAAAATGCAAGTAGAAAAATAGGGACCCCTTTGGTGGGAAAGTAACAGCATTCTGTGCGCCTTTGGCATTTAGTCCTGCCAGCCACATGACCACAGAGACGTCTTCGGACAGCACTGGCTCCTCGGCTTTGTAACGGAGATGAGCACTGCCTTCTAGAGCTAGAAGCAACTAACACAGATGTGAGAGGGGTACCTTTAGTCTGGAGAAAAAAAGGACTAGGGATGACATGATAGCAATGTTCCAGTATTTGAGGGGCTGCCACAAAGAGGAGGGAAGTCAACTTATTTTCCAAAGCACCAGAAGGCAAGATGAGAACCAATGGATGGAAACTAATCCAGGAGAGAAGCAACGTGGAATTAAGGAGAAACTTCCCAACAGTGAGGACAATTAACCACTGGAACAGCTTTGCCTTTGGAAGTTGTAGGTGCTTCATCACTGGAGGTTGTTGAGAAAAGACTGGACAGCCACCTATCTGAAATGCTATGGGGTCTCCTGCTTGAGCAGGGGGTTGGACTAGAAGACCTTCAAGGGTCCCTTCCAGTTCTATTCTGATTAAGGTACCACTTCAGTGGGAAGCTAACAGCGTTCTATGTGCTTTGGGCATGACAATGGAAATTGTCTTTGGACAACGCTGGATCCCTTGGCCAAAAAGCGGAGATGAGCACCATGCCTAGAATCAGACACAACTGGACAGAAAACCTTCATCTTGGAATCGTTACTTGGGATGCCAGATTCAAGACCAGCTGTTGCAACCTCAGAGCTCCACTTTTGTTCGTTTCTGCCACGGCGGCAATGTTACTCTCTGAGCAGAATGAGGAGGGATGATAAATTCCTCGCTTGGCAGGGCTTCATTAATAAGTAATCCAAAGCATTTATAAATAAAAAGAAGCATTTAGACTATTCCCCGCTTCCTGAGTTATGAGAGGAGCAATTAAGGAGAAAGGCTTTAAAAAGAGCCGAACCTGCTGAATTGAAGGTGGTTCAGGAAGGAGGGGGGGGAAATTGCTATTGGGATTTTGATGCAGAGAGATTGTTGCCAAGGTTTGGCCTTCTGTGGCTTGACAGCAAAGGCTGAATGGACAATCATTTATTCATAAAAATAGGCGCATTCAAATGCAGCCATCGGAGACGGCAGGATTGAATAGATTCTGCCCTAGTTATTGCTGTCTCCAGTGTGGCTTCCTGATCAAGAGGAATCAATCTTCACATTGGTTGGGTTCATGCAGGGTCCTTGACCAGATTAAACAATGATCTAATGGTTCAGAGGTGGCATTCAGCAGGTTCTGACCAGTTCTGGAGAACCAGTAGTGGAAATTTTGAGTAGTTCTGAGAACCGGCAAATGCCACCTCTGACTGGAGATTTTACAGTATCGTTTACCTGCCACGCCCACCAAGCCATGTCCACAGAACCGGTAGTAAAAAAAATTTGAATCCCACCACTGTAATGGTTGCCTTCACACCTGTTATGGTGGATTAACTTTATGTCCGGTTTTCTGTGGCCTAGCATAAGATATGAAGGATCCCTTTGGGTTAATTTATCGTTCGATGAATTGTGTGAATACAAAACAGCAATAGCACTTAGACTTATATACCACTTCATAGTGCTTACAATTTACAGAATCAGCATAAGGAGAAGGAGGAGGAGAAG